AAAAAAAAAACTATTGTTAAGAGGAAAAAAATTGCATCCAGAAGCTCAAAAACACTGACCAGGAGAAGCAGCCTGATACTTGATCTCGCCCAAAGAATCAATCTCAGGAATGACCGTGTGACAAACGGCCAAAAGCGTCATGAATTCCTTCAGCAAAATCGCATCCGATCCTCCACCCTCTTTGAGTCTCTGCGAAAAAAAAAGACACTCAAAAATTTAAAAATATTTTGCCCGGTATTTGGAGAATTTGTTACAATCAGAATGAAGATTGGTCACCTTACTAAGCGCGTCGTCATCCACATGATACACATTCCCGGCGACAGAGCACTTTTTATACTCCATCACGTTCTTCGTCAGCGTTCCTGTTTTGTCACTGAGGATATACTTGACTTGGCCGAGCTCTTCGTTCAGATTCGAGGTTCTCGCCATAGCACACATGTTCGACTCTTCGTGGTACATCTCCACATCATAATTGATCATAGTGGCTTGGATCAAGCGCACGACTTCAATAGTGACTTGCAGCGAAATCGGGATCAAGTTGTTGTACAAGATGATGAACGTTAGCAAGTTGAATCCGAAATTGGATATGACTATGTCGTCGAAGCGGAGGTACCACGCAGAACTCAGGTACGAAGCTGACCAGATTTCGGATGCCACAGCAGAAATGACGCAGATGACGATGAGAAGGAAGAAAAGCCAGAGGATTTGCCCATTCGTCACTTTATCCACAGTCGATCGTTTCAGCGGAGGGAAGGAAGAATTCTTCATCAGCTTCGTATCGTGTCCGGTGTAGATCACTATTCCGAAAACCCACATGGTATTCCGCAATTTCGCACCACGAAGAAGCATTTGCTGAGGTCCGAGCGAATGAGCTGGCTTTCCCAATTCTCGCAACGTGCCCACGAACTCGTACAAGTGACGATTCGGAGACTCGCATTCCACAGTGCACACGAATCTGTTCAGGTCCTTTGGTTCTAGAAGTTTGGAAGTATGTGCTAAACCCTGGCGCACCTTCAAGTTAGTTTCACCGTCCAAATTCGACGTTTCAACGTAAGCCATCGCATTAGGTTCACTGGAAGATAGAAGTACGAGATCTGCCGGGAACAGAGAGTCGTTTCGAACTCGCACCATGTCGCCGACTTTCAGCTTCGACCACCGGATCCATTGCCAATGATAGCCCTTCAAGACTTCAACTTCCTGGACATTCACACGCCTATCAGCTGCATGGCGTCTCTACAAATTTCATAGAGGGAATCACTAACACTTGCGACTTCAAGAAAACTGAGCTGATGCGTAAATAGCCAAATCAAATAGTTCAGCTGAAAGCGAAGAGCATATTATGAAGCTGCATGTAGCAAGAACTTGAAAACTCCAGAATACTAGAATCATACGAGAATGAAGAAAACCACGACTCACAATGTCCTCGATTATTTCCTTAATAGCTGAGATAAACAGTATGAAGAGCAGCGGCATGAGAGTAGTGTAACGACCGGTTGGAGATACATCGGGGATTTGTTGCAACAAGGCGATGAACAGAAAGAAGCAATTCGAGTATCTTCGAAATTGTTCAAACAGGAACAGAGGTAGGAAGGATATGAGGTTGTATTTTGCCGTCGACACACGATTGCTGGTGTATTTTTCGGGCTGAGGTCGGTTGACGAACACAACTCGGAGATCCGCATGCGCTGCTTGTGGATCCGGCGGTGCGGAAGAAGTCCCATCTTCTTCTGCAACAAATTATTCCTATTTCAAAGTTCACGTCGAAGAAATGCTGCCTTTGACTTTAACGTATGAAAAACGTGAGTACAATATTGTAAAGGGAAATGCTTACGTTTCCATTATTCCTCGAAACTGAACCCTTAATCATGTGGAAAACCATTTCTTTGGAACAAATGCTGCTCTAGAATTCTCCATGTGCATACGCCAGTTCTATATGCAGTACTGTTTACCAAGCGCATTATCATTCCGTGGATACATCATAATTCTTCCCCATTTTAATTCAGAAGCATGATCAACCTGACCACAAACCTTGCCGGATGTCACGGAGGAGTCGTGTTTGGATCCAGTCGCCCACATTCCCCAAGTACCTGCCAACCACGTTCATTCTCAAGTTCACTTCATTCTATACGCTGAATTCTCGTCACACAGTTCTTTCCCTGAAGCATAGAATACGTTTACGAAGAATCCAATCGCGGCACATGCAGGTGAGAGTTAACGTCTTACAAACATACAATTCGGAGGATTCGTATTTGCAATTCCAACGGTATGCGGGTATGCCATATGCTGCGGCGCATCACACGGCATGATTCATAACCACAACCCAAAAAATTACACTTCTTTGAAGATCACGAGAATAGTACATACTGTACTTCTTATTGCAGGGGCATGTACGATGTGCAACATAAGCCAGATTAGTGAACTTCCTTGGTTGACGAAATACCTCAGAAATATGCAATGAGGCTGTGAGACAGAATGTGGAGATTTTCGAAGCTCGGGGAGTTGGGGACATGTAAATTACAATATTACAGTGATCCCTGAACTACAAGCACTCCGGTAGCAGTCAGGATCTACTGCTGCCACCATCTATCCGTGCACAAACATTCTCTTTTACTTCCTGTCCTTACTGAGTACAATAAGGAAATAATCCAGTCAAGGTAACACACACACGTCCTTCTATTTCACAAGTCACAGACTAGAGGTCAGAGATTATAACTTCACGTCTCCAGAGTTCAGATCAGAATGCCCCTTCCTTCCGTGCTCCGATTCCTCGTCCGATCACTTCCGCCTTGTCATCATCCTCCACGTGTACCTGGTTCCACCGTGTCTCGCGAACACGTGTTCGTGGCGCCAGCCCGTCTGGTGTTTGCGTACCCCCTGTGTTTGAGCGCTTCCACGGTTTGCGTCTCCCTCCCCTAGATGTCGCGTTTGATCGTAAGGGTGCGGCCTTACTCTCCCCCCGAAAAAGGTTTCTCGCCTACCCCAGTACACGCGTTTTTGATGTGGTTTTCACGCCGGATTGCATTGTCCGTAAGCATGATCCAGTGCAGCGGCCCTTTCCTGAGACATTGGTGCTTCACTTGGTGGTCGCGCGTACCCGTGATCCTTGGCTTGTATGACACTGTTTTGTCCTGATGGCAAGTGAATAAGACCCATCTGTTTTTCAAATCCTGCTCCTGGTTGTCTTGGTAATCTGTGGAATGGTACCATTTCCCAAGCGTTTGCTCTTTGAACATCTGGTCCCGCTCCCACGTGATATTCTCCGTTCCCGACGTAGGATATGACCATGAATGGGCCCAGGCGTTGTGTCCTGAATCTGCGTCCCGCTGCATGCGTCTGTACTGTTGGTAAACGAGGACAGATTGCAATCATATCACCTGGAAAGAAGTGTTTGAGTTTATGTTTGTTAGCTTGTTGAATAAACTCCGTCCGGTGTTTCTTGGTGGTTTCATGTATGCGTTCCATGCATTCCTAGAAATTCTGTTGTTGTGCTCCGAATTTCTCATCAGATTTGAGTTGAAGTGGGACCCCGAACATTGCCTCCGTTGGCGTAACCCCCGTTGCGGAATGTATTGTAGAATTGTAGGCCACCACTGAATCGGCCAAGTGCTTTGCCCATTGCGTTTCCTGCCCTTTGACGGCTTTCGCCTGTATTTGCATTAGCGTCCTGATTGACCGCTTGCAACACCCGTTCCCTTCGGGGTGTGTAGCCTGCGCGATGTGTTGCTCCGCGCCGATGCCCCTAAGGAAGTGTTTAAAAACATACCCACAAAAAACCGAGTCGCAATCGGTGTGAACGATTTCGAAGGTTCCAAATTGCCTGAAAACCTCTGCAATGAACAGAATTATAGTTTGAGAGTCAGCCGCCAGAATTGGCTAGGCCATCATATACTTACTAAAGTGGTCTATGGTCACAATAGCATACCTGTATTTCGCCTCGGTTTCCGGTAGCGGACCGTAGAAATCGACCACTAACCTTTCATTTGGGTGATTTGATTCGATTGGTGTCATAAGTGCGCCGACAGTGCTTGTTGGTTGGTTGTATTTGAAACACAGTTCGCACATAACGATTTGCTGCCATATTTGCTGATGTCTCATTTTTGGCCATATGAACCTTTCCTTAAGTGTCAAGTACACTTTTTTCCATCCCGCGTGTCCCATTTCAGCATGGTACTCGTTGATAATGCGTGTTCTATCTTCTTCTGCAGGAGTAATTTGCGCCTCTGCTTGATTTACCAAGATTCGGCTTAGTGCGTCTGGGGCCTGAAGTAGGTGTCCTGGTCTGTAAAATCAATTCAAAGTCAAATCAGTTCAAAGTCAAAGGTGACCAACTTTGCTTGGAAGCTGATGAGTCGTTCCGTTTGAAGTTTGCCCAACAGAGCCTTGTGGTCTGTGTAGACTTTGAACTTTCGATAGACGAGGTGGTGCTTAAACTTTTTTGTGATGCTCCAGACCACTGCCAGCAGCTCTCTCTCCGTATTTGAATATCGCGTTTTGGCGTCCTTTAAAGTGCGGCTTGCATATTCTATCACACGTTCTTGGCCAGTGTCGTCCATTTGTACTAGTACCGCGCCGAGTGATATTGCCGACGCGTCACAGTGTACCGCAATTGGAAGAGCCGGATCGATGCGCTCCAGGCGTGCCGTTTCCGCTAAGACACTCTTCAAGTGTTCAAACGCCGCTTCTGCTTCCGACGTCCACATCAGTCTCGTTGCTGGTTTCAAAGGTATTGTCCGGCGTAACGCTTTCTCCGCCTCTGCAAAATTTGTAGGAAGGTGCGCTCTTAAATATGTAGCCATACCTAAAAATTGCTGCATTTGTTGTCGAGTTTCAGGTTTCGGGTATTTCTGCATGGCATCCACGTTGCGTTTGGCGGGTCTGCTCCCGGTTTGATCTATTTCGTACCCCAGGAATAGGGTTTTCTGGGCTAAAAAGGTGGATTTTAAAAGATCAATACACGCGCCGGCCTCCTGTAAAACATGTAAAACGATTTCCAAGTTCTTGCACAAAGTTTCAAAAGAGTCTCCAAAAACAATCACGTCATCGACGTACGCCAGACACCTCTGGAAAAGGTGGGGTCTCAGAATTGTATTAATGGTCCTTTGGAAAAGTGCTGGGCCATTTTTGAGCCCGAATGGTAAAACTTTATACTGCACCTGTCCCCTCGGCGTCATGAAGGCTGTTTTGGGGCGATCCTCCTGCGCAATTGGGAGGTGGTGGTACCCCGCATGCAGGTCCAAGGTGCAAAAGAACTTGTTATTTCGTCCAAGTGCTTCCAGTAGTTCTTGAATAATAGGCATAGGATAGTTATCCATCATCACCAGTTTGTTTAGCTCCCGGTAATCCTCCACTAGTCAAAATCGTTTCTCAATGGGTGCGGTTGGGTTGTCACATTTTTTGTCAACCAGAAAAGCAGGCGCATTGTAGGGGGATGCAGCCTGTTCCAGAATACCCGCTTCAAGATAAGTGTCAATGAGTTTGGCAAATGGGGCATTCCGCTCCGCTGAGTGTTGGAACTGCCTGGCCGCTGGTGGTGATGCCTCCTCAGTCGGAATCCGCACCACATAATCTGTAAAAAGACCACGTCTACCTGACCATTGACGGATGACCTGGCTATGCCGGCATAGGATTCCGGCAACCCGATCGCGTTCCGCTGTTGACCAGTCCACAAAAGGTATGCCGGTGCCAACGGGCATGCTTGGCTTCGTTGGCGGGCTCATAATTTCCTGAAATCCCGTAAAAACCCGTGCGCCGTCAAGTGTCACTGCAATCGGTAATTGCGCTGAAATGGTGCGCCCAAAAATAAAAGACTTGGTCATTTGTGGTAAAACCAAAAACATGCCATGATATACGGTGGAATGAAAAGAAAAAGAAATCTGCACCATCTGAGATACCCGAATCGCGTCCGGCCCCAGCGCAGTTCCCACAGTTGTCGTCACGGACACGGTTTTCCCCCCTAATTGTTGAACCATATTCCCCGAAATAAAAGAATGCGAAGCCCCCGTGTCAAGGAGGGCATTAAACCGGCAAGTGCCGATTGTGATTGGAAGAAGAATCGGTGGTGGCGCGGCAGGTAAGGTTGTCCCTGATGCACAGTGAGCCGCATTCACTGTGCTGATTTCCCGTTTTCCTGGGCCTCTGGACAATATCGGGCAATGTGCCCTGGTTTACGGCAGTGAAAACATACATTACTTCGCGGATCATTCGACTCGCACGCTCCAGAAGAAGAACTGTCATTGTGATAGGTGATTGCCAATTGTGCCGGCGGCGCCTCAATGGCCAGCGTCGTTGTTGTTGATGCTTGATTTGGGCGTAGATGGCATTCATGCGTGCCATGGCACATGTGACGGTGGTGGTACTTGCACCACTGCCTCGGCGGTAACTGCATTCTTGGGCGTTGGCCTGTTCTTGCTGTTGTTTGCTCTCCGGACGTGGCACGGTGGTTCACATGGTAGGTGTCCGCGACGTTGATCAGCTTGTCCCATGACATCTCCCTGTTGCGCGTCCATTTGCATTCCAGCTCGGCCTTGAGTCCTGGTTCGGCAATGTTCCATAGTTGCTCCTTAAAGATGTGTTGCAGTAGTGGCTCTCCGTCGTCCAGTTGCTCCGGTGTCAGTTGTACGTACGTCTCGTATTCTTTGCGTAAGCGCTCCCCAAAGTTGAAGTAGCTTTCCCCCTTGTCAGGCTTCATGGATCTGAAACGCCTGAGGCGATCCAGATGTGGGGTGGGGTGACGTCGTGCAATGGCCGCAACCAACTCCTCGAACCCTTGAAACCCCCTTTTGTATACATACAGTTGGCTGTTGATTGTATGATGGGCCACGTATTGTTCAGAAGACAGCAAATGCGCTGTTTGTCCGTGACCTTATTGATGGCCAGCATATTCCTCAGACGGGCGGCATAGTCCTCAAAATCTTCTTCCCTCCTTTGCTTCAGCAGTTCTGGGGTTTGTAACTCCCTCAGCCACCGCGGGCGTTGTGTCACCGAGGCAGGCTGTCTCGCGTCATCAGAGTCAGAGCTCGGACTCCTATGTCTGCTGCGGGTGTTTGCCTGCTTTTGTAGTTGTAGCAGGGCTGAAATCGGTACCTGGAAACGTTCCAGTTGCATAGCATATTCCGCCTTGGACCCGGTGTCGTGATGACCCAGGTGGTATGTTTCCGACAAGAGCTGTAGAGTGGCTAGTGGTAAAGATTCCCACACGCTAGCGGACGATGACGTAGAGTTGTCGTTGTCCTGACACGTTGCCTTGGGCGTTAATTCATCCGCTCCTCCTTTGTCCTCCAATGCACTCTCCTGTGGTGTGCGTGTCTCAGTTGGCTCTTTTGGGTATACGGCCCCACTCCTGGTGTTCATTGTGAAAGGGTTTGGTTGCAGGAAAATTCGTTGAAAGTTGGTTTAGTGTGTAAAGGGTGGCTCGAGCCCCCAATAAGGAAATACTCCAGTCAAGGTAACACACACACGTCCTTCTATTTCACAAGTCACAGACTAGAGGTCAGAGATTATAACTTCACGTCTCCAGAGTTCAGATCAGAATGCCCCTTCCTTCCGCGCTCCGATTCCTCGTCCAATCACTTCCGCCTTGTCATCATCCTCCACGTGTACCTGGTTCCACCGTGTCTTGCAAACATGTGTTTGTGGCGCCAGCCCGTCTGGTGTTCGCGTACCCCCTGTGTTTGCGCGCTTCCACGGTTCGCGTCTCCCTCCCCTAGATGTCGCGTTTGATCGTAAGGGTGCGGCCTTACTGTACTGTATACTGACACATGCTTCCGATTCCATCCTACAGCGCCCAAATCGCTGTCTAGCACATATCGCCGTGACGCGGCGATTCCTTCAACCGAAATGGAGTTTTTAGGCAGATTTTGGTCATTTTCAATGTCAACACCTCACGTAGATCATGATGATTATAACCGTACGAATTTGTCAGCGGAGTTTCTTGTCATAAGCATCATCCCCATTTCAATTTTTGGTACAGAGACAAATCGAAATACAATCGAATTCCCCTGTGAGCATGTCAATTTCGGATTATCACAATAAATACTGCTTGTCATATTTTCTTGTTCCAAGGAGATATTCCGAAATCATAAAAAAAAATTTTGAAACTTGAGAAATCCAAAACTGGGAAGCCATTGGTGTGTTGTGGATCTTCTTCATGCGCCATCTTGGAGGCAGTTTTGATTTGAAGTCTTTTGGAAGAGGATAACCTTGATATTCATCCAGCACTGAAACATAAGAATATCAAAGTATGACAACACATTTAACAAGTATGACAACACATTTAACAAGTATGACAACACATTTAACAAGTATGACAACACATTTAACAAGTATGACAACACATTTAACAAGTATGACAACACATTTAACAAATATGACACATAAGGAAGATTTTTTGTCAGCTTAGACAGGCTCAAAAGTTAACATGGTCCGACTGTATTACCATTTTTCATGTCCAATTTTATACATTATCTTTCATTTTTGACTGAGTTCTGAAATATTTTGTGCACAAAAAATACTGTAATATACAATTCTTCAAATGCATTCACCTGCTGCTGCTGTAACTGCTGCTACTATGGCTGCCCAAATAACCTAGGTTCCAGCCAAGATTATTACCCCTGTAACTCCAAGGATTGGCAACACTTGGGCTCCTTGCCTCCTTACTTCCTGGTGTAATTTTCTTCCCAGTCTTCTGCTCATGTCCAAGTGAACTCAGCTCAAATGGGAAATCATTAAAATCAAAATCCTGCCAATTAAAGTCCCCAAAGTCAAAATGATCCTTCTTCATGGGTATTTGCTTATTATTATTCACGGCCTTCAAGTGCTTATGAACATGCTTGTGTTTGTGTTCATGCTTGTGAACCAGCAGCTTGCCATTTCTGTAAATTGAAAAAAGGAGTCACTTTCTGCAAGATTTTGTATGTTAACCACATGGGTTGTCCCAATTGTGCGCAACCTCTGGCACATTTGGAGCTAGATGTGATTGTTAAAAAAAATCATGACATAGAGTCCATGATGTTCTAAGGTTCTGGGATTCTTCCTGGTTTTTGGAAAATGTTTTTGAATTTACTGATAAGAGGAAACTTTCCAGTTACAGTCAAAGTTTTCAATCTATGTCACACATTGCTAAAATTTGTATAAGACAAGCTAAAAAAAGAAAATCATTGTTATTTTACCCATTATTACAGGTGGTGCCCAGAAATTTGACCCTAACTTGATGCTGGGTAAGGGTCAAATTGCAAATCAGTCAAATTGTAACACAATTTCAAATTCAATATTTACTACATCAAATCTGACATTCTGAGCCTCTCTGCAGGTCAAATTGTGGGGCAAGAGGTCAAATGGCAAGTTTACCAATCCCATCAAATTTGACCATCCAATTGCAGAACAGTCAAATTGCAAGGTACAACCTGCATCTTTTTGACTCTTCAGGTTGGCAAACACTAAGTTAGGTTGGCAAAACATTGATCTATGCTTTGATCAACCCAGCAAATTCGCATTAACATTTTTGCACACTGTCAAATTTCCAAAAAATGTCTGCACATGCTGGCAAAGTTAAAAAATGTTTTGCTTGAAAGGCTTTATGGCAGGTATTTAAAAGGTTTGGTCTTTTTTTTTCAAATCTGAGAACCACTGAAGCAGCTATATTTGGTGGAATGTCTTCAAAGAATGAGGAAGTAAGTCTTGAATAAGGGTTTCTCAGAATGAAGAAAATTTAAATACAATAATTTATTTCAACTGGTAAATTTGCTTCAAGTGTGGGGAACCCTGGCTTTAGAAAATTGATTGTAAGAATTCCATTGCTAGCTAGCCTGAGACATTTTTAGCACCCTCTGACATGGCTGGACAACCCTGGCTGCAACTGGAAAGTTTTCACTTATCATCATGCAGTAAATTAAAAAATCTTTTTTTAAATCTCCCAAAAAATCTCAGAACCTAACAACATCATGGGGTATATATATTATGATTTTTTCTCACAATCACAGCTTTTCCAAAAATATCCAATATTTCTTCCAACTGGGACAAGCCTTGTACAATAATACTTACTGCCCACAACAGCCGTTTGAGTAAACTGTGGCTGATGAGCTGGAGAAACTTGCGTGAGGAGACGTTTTCACTTTCACTAGAGGAGAACAGGCACACAAGCTGGCGATACCAACTATTTTCAGTAAGATTTTCCACATCACCTTCAAAAAAATGAACCACATAAACAAAAAAAAATCTGCGGATCAGAACAATAAAAAAATAAATACATCTTCAACCTGAAATTGCTGGACATATATACACAAGCGATCGTCATAAAATTCGGATGAGCCCCACTTATTTTGATGAGCAGCATGGAGAGAAATCACAGAAGCAATCTTCATTTCATGACCAAAAGCAGCTTTGATTTTTATATGAGGTAATCCTTTCAATCACTATTTGCCTATATGATCTTTTCCCTTTTTTTTTGCAAAACCTCAAATTTTCAATTATATTTCCTAAAATAATCGTCATAAAATTCGGATGAGCCCCACTTATTTTGATGAGCAGCATGGAGAGAAATCACAGAAGCAATCTTCATTTCATGACCAAGAGCAGCTTTGGTTTTTATATGAGGTATAATCCTTTCAATCACTATTGCCTATATGATCTTTTCCCTTTTTTTTGCAAAACCTCAGATTTTCAATTATATTTCCTAAAATAAATGGCACCCAGCAGTATAACAAAAATCATGAAAGGCTATAAAGATGAAACAACCTGTTTCCTTGAAGAGATACTTTATTTTCTCAGAATCAATTTTCAAGAAAATTAAAATGAAGCTCAATATCACAGCTTGATCATTCTGGAAGATGAAATCTTTGTTTTTGAATAGTTCAATTGAGGCTTTAGTTACTTGTGTTGCATATTTTTTCCAAATGTATTCCTCCCATAGACAAACATTTTATGCATTTTTTATTTTACAATATTCAAGAGTTTGAAGAACATGGATGCTCCTTAAAATTACGTTTGTGTTGAATGAGAATGAATCACTGGATATATACAGTATACATTTGATGGCAAATGAGTTATTTTTCATATTTAAAGTTTTTTTTACAGTTGGGGTTCTTTTGATTTTTGAAGTGTTAATGTTTTTTGAAAGCATTTTATGTATAAATTTTCTTTAGAGTTATTCAATCAGACAAAGTTTGTCAAACTGAAGAGAAATGAATATCATCAAGCCTACCTCAATATCTGAAAAGCTGTTCAATTTGGACAGTGAATTCCAAATTAAATGCAATATTGGCTAATAGATTTTATGGTACCTCACAAGGGATTAATGAGTTTTTTTCTGGCATGAAACAAGTAGATTCATCATTTTCTGATTTTGAAATTTGTTTATATATTCTGGATGTGGAGTCAAAAATTGCAAAGTTGGACAAACCAACTCTGAAACTTCTTCAGATATGCTGATTATGGTTCCTCAGGTATTTTACTTCAAGATTATTAATATTTAGGAAAGTGTCATACACAGCATAAGGACTGACAAACTCAAAGGATGAATCTCAAAAATCTTAAATTTTACTCTAACTGTCTTTGATCACATGAACATTTATGGCAAGTGGCATTTAATTTATAATTGAGTAATTTTCATGCAGACTTCCGCATGACTTGATATTTTTTTCTGCAGGTGTTCTTTTTCTGAAGTGATACTCCCCAGAACATTTTTTTTCCTGTAGAATTTTTTTATTCCATAAGACTATTACTGTGTCTATCCATGTTGTAACAGAGTAGTTCTCTTCCATAAAATTCTCTTAAGCACACATTTTTTTCTGATTCCTTGAAATTTTTTCTGCAAGGGATAACCTGTATTTGTCATGTCTTCAATCAAGTTCTGCTTGACTGATTTTTGGGTCAAAATAATTTGTTCAAAGGTTAATACAATTTGTTGCTTGACAATAATCTGGAAAAGTAGAGAAGACTCATGGATAAGTGAGAGAACTGGCCAGTTTTTATCTTCAGTTGTTGGAATATTGGTGGGATCATATATTAATATTTTCATTTTGATTTCACAGAAAAATAGGCATAAGACTTGCATATAATCTTTCAGTCACATTTCTTAAAAATAAACAATTGTTTGAGTTGAAGAATATTTTCTGTCATTGGTTTTCCAAAGTCATGCCAACATTTGAGCTCCTGCAGCAAATCATTAAATTTTCTTTGTTCAAGGGAATGTAGAATTTGTTCCATCTTGTGCTCATCATTGGTATATAATTGATTGCTAGGTTTTTGTACAGAAAAAGTCACGTCTACAGTAAAATCTTGTTACAACAAACTTGTGGTGACTTCAGAAAAAGTTTGTTGTAACGAATAATTTGTTATAACGAAATTTTGAAAATCATTAAATCAATTGAAGATTTTACTCAAATTAGACCTGCATATGTTTAACATCTTCCATTTGTAGCCTTTTCAGATGTTATTCAATGGTTAAAAAATTGTGATCTTCAAAAATAAATGTAATTGTTAATGAAAAAAAAACAGATACTCTGAATAACAGTTAAATA